AGGGGCACCCCCACATGTGTCTTACTCATCGTCATGAGATCAAGTCGCAGGAGCGCTTTCGGACTAAAACACAGCCAGGAAGGTAAGGGCTGCAGTCCGTGCCGTTCTGTGTGCTGACGTTGCTGGGAACAGTGTATGCGAAGCTGGGAATGTCTCACATTTAAGACGCAATGAAGAAAAAACATAGTTAAATAAAGGTCTAAACAAGCGGGCAGCTCCAGACCAATGACATCCTAACTGAGCAGCGGAGGTGCAGAAGCGCGCGAGGGGAGGGGTTTGTGGGGGCGCCTCTCGGACCCGGGGCAGATAATGGGCGGCAGCGCCGGAGTGATCGATTCTCTACGGGTGGCATGGATGAGCTGTACCATAACGATGAGAAGACAAAAACGACCTTAGTTACCCCGGAGACTGGATCAGGCCGGCGCGGATCGATCTCCCCGATCCGTTCAGTAACGCACTGAGTACGCAGGTTTCTGCAGCCGTGTTACCTTGGCACCACGCAAATAACTCCCCACAAGACGAAGCGTCATGATGAGGACGGTACTAGTCTCCATTGCATTACGGATGAAGAACGCCTGATTAGGGAGTAGATGACCGCCACTCTTAAAACGGATTTTATATAGGTTTCGCCGCACAAAAACTAAAGCCTTCGTTGATATGACATATACATGTTATTCACCTGAAGAAGGCTCCACGGCCGAAACGTTGTGTTTTCTTCTTTTTTTTCAGCATGGAATAAACCTATTACTTGTTCCTATGTCATATATACAGTATACACACAAAATCGGTACCTTCACATCAAGTTCTGCGCAAGCTCGCAGAATGTAAGGCTTAACATTAAAATTAAAAAAAAAACCTAATAGTAATCTTCGCATATTTTCTGCAAGTCAGGAACAGAATGACAGACCACCCCCCCCCAAACACACACACACACAAAAAGAGAGAGCGCGTTCACACAGCATAATGCTGGTGCATCGGGGAGCCGATGACGGGCTCGTTTCGATCTCGTTTCTCGTTAGCGAAGCGACATCAAGACGAACCCCGCTGTGTGACGGGCGACCGGTTTCGCCCAAACCCTCAGACACCCCCCCTTCCCGCGGCGTCCCCTAGCGCTTTCCCTCCCGAGCCAGCGTGTCAAGATGCAGAGATGCAGTCCCCACCCAAGCCTCTCTCTCCCCAGCCAGCGCTCACAGGGCCTCTGCATCCCCGACCCTCGCTCCCGTATTCCCCCGCACCCCGCACGCTGTCGCTCGGCCCGCCGCTGCCGCTCCGCGGGGGCTCCGTGCTCTCTGAAGGGCGGAAAAGCAACAGAACTGCGGGAAGATCGCAACCCCCGGCCTCGCCCCCACTCATCCACAGGACTCACCGCTTTGCTCGCCTAGGAAAACAAGCTTGAATTTCCGCAGGGGGTTACCGAACTCTCCGCCGCCGGTGGTGGACATTTTCTTTCCTCGAATGAGAGGGGTGGCGTGTGTGTGTGTGTGCTTGTGTGTCAGTCAGCGCCGCACAGCAGGGAGGGAGTGGGGAGGGAATACCCAAAGGCAAGCCGAACCAGTCCGGAGCCGGGTCGGAACCGGTGCCCAAGTCCGAGCACAGGACAGAGAGGAGAAGCTAGGATTGAAAACGGATGACAGCTCCGCACGCCTGCGCGTCACTTCCACCAACAAGAGGTGTCGTCAGCGCAAGCGGGGGAGGTGAGGGGTGACGTCATGGTGGACTGGATAGCCGGGTGTGGCCTGCTGATGTCACTGCCACGAAGAGGTTGAATCAGCCGGGTTTAGGGGTGAATCGGTTAAGATTTCTGTAGTAATCCACCCAAGATCATGAACCCACGGGCGATTAAAGCCATGGCTCAAAGCGCCATCCAGATGCCGTTCAATATTTGTAGACAACAGAGTATCTTTGAATCCGACGGGACAGCAGTCTTTTTTATTTTATTTTTTTACCACAATGCACTTTCTTTCCTCAAGCCCTTTGACGATAATAATAATAATTGCTTACACTTATATAGCGCTTTTCTGGACCCTCCACTCAAAGCGCTTTACTGGTAATGGGGATCCCCTCCACCACCACCACCAGTGTGTAGCATCCACCTGGATGATGTGATGGCAGCCATAGTGCGCCAGAACGCTCCCCACACATCAGCTCTCAGTGGGGAGGAGAGCAGAGTAATGAAGCCAATTCATAGAGGGGGATTATTAGGAGGCCATGATTGGTAAGGGCCAATGGGAAATTTGGCCAGGACGCCAGGGTTACACCCCTACTCTATTCGATGAAGGAAGATTGACTGGTGCATAAAAAGAAATGTGAAAACATTGCCAATCTCACCGTGCACGGTGTGCTTTTACTGTGAAATCCCAAATGGCAAAATGTATATACAGTATATATCCAATAGGTTTCCAGGCGTCCAGAATCTTTAGCGAAACCTTTAGATTAGTATTGTAAGAGACCCTGAGGCATGACAGTGTTTAAAGATAGTTTCTTTAAATACAACACAGAGAGAAAGATATAACCTCATACTTTTAATCAGAGGTGTGGTTCTCACCCCGCATCCCAGTTCCTTCAGACAGCATGATGGTTTGCTTATACATACGGTACATTTATGTATAACTCTGAAGAAGCCCACCAGCGATCCCTTCAGCAGTGAACATGCACTCAGTTCCTTTGACAATCTGGCTGTGTCAGGTCACACAGTAAATTAAACCCCACAAACACTCCCTCTAGAGAACAGAAATCGCTACACCCCCACTCCTTGACCGAGCCCCCTTTCCAGTGCAGGAGTGCCCGGGAGGAGACCAGCCCTGTGGCTGAGCGGCTGTGTAGCGCTGCCCTCGTGGAAACTCTAATACTGGAGCTACACAGGCGCCGCAGGGGCCTCTAAACACCCACCTCTACAAATCAGCAGGTACATGAATGAAATAATGCTAAAAAACCCCAACAAAACATTTGGTAGCGGAAGCGACGTGGCAAGGGATGCTGGGTCCTGAAAGATGAACAGACTTTGCCCTTGTTGCTGGACAGCCACCCTGAGTGTCCAGAGGGGATCTGCAATGCCGCTCCCCAGCACAGCCAGTGTGCCCTCCGTTCCCAGCCCGTGACTCCAGTCTTCAGGGGCATTGACATGTGGCTTAAGCCACAGGCCTGCACCTGTCAGAGCTGGGTGTGCACAACTGAGCTCCTGCAGCCCCTTAGTTCACACAGGTAAACCCCTCCTACAGAGAACTAAGTGTCTAGCATAGCCCTGAGGTGTCTGATTGCAAAAGCAGTTGTACTTCACTCGGAAATGTATTCTCCACGGCCAGTTGAGAAGGCCGCTTCTTTTGAAATGATGCACCTCACTCACATGCTATAGCTACAAGAGAAATGTGATCCTGAAAATGTGTTTTGAGACAGATTTGTTTTGAACTGTGTAACTGTTTTTGCTTATGTTTCTCCATGAGCAGTTTCGGCTCAGTGTGTCTGTGCCTCAGTACCCCTAGGATTGCACTACTGAGCTATAAATAATAAAAAAATGAATGCATCCCCACCCCCTATTTCAGAGAAAGCACAGCAATGTTATGTGTTTAATGACAGAATTCTAATTGTGGCGCTAATGGGCATTCTGCCGGGTTCTCAACGTCCAGCTGTCCTTCTGCCTGTCCACCACGGGCCAGTCTCCACACTACTTTTCCTCCTGGTCCTCCTTTTCTTCTTCATCGTCTTTCTCCCCTTTCAGCTTCTGCCGGGCAAACTCCTCGATCACAATGTCCTCCTGGCTGCAGTTCACGAAACAGACACAGGCAGATCCTGTCAGCCCCCACAACACCACACAGCCCGAGAGGGCTTTCTATCACACAGGTGGGATGACATTTCTACAGGCAGTGATACTGTGCAAGCGAGTAGGCAAAACTAAAAAAAAAATCGCACATTTCTGAAAAACTAGGGGAAAATGCTGGCTTTCATGGGTTTTATTGCCCTAGAACAAACAGGCAGATGTCAAGAAAGCTAATTCCCTTGTGCCCATTGATTAAATTCATATCGAATTCATATATTAGCAAAATGCAGTTATGCTGTTTTTTTTACTAAACCGTCACAGCTTGTGAGCTGTGTTGGTGCAGCAGAGAGGTGTGATTTCAGACTGGAATGTTTAGTCTGTAGAGTTTGACCTGCCAGTGCCAGATCACTCAGACCCCTCTGACTCTCCATGTATTCCACCAGCTGTGGGCCCAAGACCAAGCCTTCCAGGGCTCATTCATGCCCTGAATCAGAGCCCTTGTCACTCTGTGTCCAGGCCTCCTCTCTTTTCCCATTGACCTGCACTGAACACAAGGGCGGGCTCTCTCTCTGCCACTGCGCGTGTCTCATTACTACTTACCTGACACTTTCTGCTTCGTGTCAAGGGATAAAGTAAGGCAAAAGAGAAAGAGAGAGAAGTCCAGATCAGTCACTAAACACGTCTCCACCAGAGGGTGCTGTTGTACAGGGCAAAGCAGTAAAGCAGCAGTAGACATGCAGTACTTATGTTATACAATTATACGGTAATAATAATAATAATAATAATTGCTTACACTTATATAGTGCTTTTTCTGGACATTCCACTCAAAGCGCTTTACAGGTAATGGGGACTCCCCTCCACCAGCACCAATGTGCAGCATCCACATGTACATACAGTACACTCCACTCCAAGAGTCCATTCATCAATCCATTTTAGAAGTGCCTCTGTGACCGTCGCCGTTCCGCGCGGTGTCGTGCCCCCCGCCACCCGTTCCGTCCCGCACACCTGGGGCGCGAACCCGGGTCTCCGGTGTAACGCAACAGGGCACCAGCCGAGTGAGCTAAAGGAGACCCCCCCCAGCCCAGGCGCCTGAGGCCCCTGCTACGCGCAGTGAGGGCGCTGACGTCACCCTATCAGAACTAGCTCCGCTACACCTCTTCCAATTTAGGCTCGCAGGGAAGCTGGAGCGTAACCCAGCAAGCAACCAGCTGGAGCAGGATACACCCTGGACAAGACAGCAGGCCGTTGTAGTGCACTCACAGACAGATGGACACCTACACTTGCACCAGGTCCAGTTTTCCCTGAAGGTAATGAGCCCCCCAGCATGTCTTTGGACTGTGGGCAGAAACTGGAGCACCCAGAGGAAGCACATGTAAACATGGGGAGAACGTACGAACCCCACACAGATAGCAGCCCAGGCAGCCCAGAAATTGAACCCGGGCAGGCAGGAAGTGCAAGGCAGGGAGGCTAACGACTGTGTCACCATGTTGCCCCACTCCTAGAGTCTCCATCTTTTATTTTTCAAAGTGGACAAAGTGTCCAGTCGTTAGAAAATGAACCAGGCAGAAAATGAAAGCTCGTTCAGCTTGCTTACATTAGAGAATCATAGCCTTTGCATATGAAAATAGTCCCATTTCCCATCTACATGTGCTATCTTGAGACAACTATAAGATGTTAATAGATAATAATAGTTAAAAGATATTTACATATTATAAGATATAATATTTGCTATGAGATATTTAAAAATTTTCATGTGACATGAACATCAGTAGTTGTAGCTCTCTAGTGAATTTTAAAGGTAAAGGGGGTGATGAAATTCTGTTAGATTTCCTGTAACTGATCACATTAGATCCTTTGCTTGTATCATGTCTTATTATAATTGGGTACAGTAAGCTGCAAGTGATGGAAAATATAAAACTATATACATACAGTCTGATAAAGATATACATACAGTCTGTCTGCATCAAAAATATATTATTTTATCGGCATGTTGAAATTCTTTTCTTTCTTTCCACAGGTGTGTGGTGTCCCTTAAGGCACAGAAATGTACAAGGCAGAGCACCCCAATAAGAAGTCAGTTTCCTCAGTGCTTGCGTGCTGTCCCGGGACACTTACCGCTGGGTTTGGGGTGCATGAGGGTAAAGGGGAGCTCCACTCCAACATCGCTGCAGAGACAAAACAACGAATCAGGTGAGACAGTCTCCTTTGTGTAACCCCTGCGTAGGACCTGATCTGGGGTTCTTCCCAATTCTAGGGAGAAAGACATCTGTAGAATGTGATATTTCAGAATACAGTATATAGCGAGGATAACTGTTGTCACAAACAGCAATTGTGCCATGTGTGGAGAAAGCATTGTATAGTTCTAGTGCTTATGCAGTGGTCTCTCCTAAATACCCTCCATTGCAACACTGGAGAGTGACCAGGGCTGTACTCAGATTAGAAAACCTTCACTGGATTCAAAGCATTGAAGAAGATGCACTTTGTGTGTCTTTTTGGGTGTGCTCTGGAAAATGGTAATTATTTTCAGAACAAATTAAAACTCATTTCAATCCTTTGGGGAACTGCGTGCAAATGTCTTTTATCTCCCACATCTCACTTGTACGA